CGAACTGTAATCAACCTAGAATCAATTAACTAAAATAAAATCATTCTAATCCAAAAAAAAAACATTTAAAAAAAATCAACCGAATCATAATCAACAACCCCCCCCCCAAAAAAAAAAAAAAAAAAAAAAAACTCCAGTTACTATAATCCAAAATACCTCTTTTTTTCTTTCCCACAGAAATCTTAAAGGGGGAAAGGTGACTCTTCAAGATGTCTCCTTTATCCTACGCTTTTGCTGGGGTCCTTGGTCTCCTGGTACTCAGCAGTGCAGGTAAGTTAAGATTAAATTAATTAATGGTGATAATAATAAGTTTGTAGCTGTAGTAATGGTGATGATTGTGAATTGATAGATTTAATGGTCCATTGTCTCCTGGTACTCAGCAGTGCAGGTAAGTTAAGATTAAATAAATTAATGGTGATAATAATAAATTTGTAGCTGTAGTAAATGGGTGATGATTGTGAATTGATAGATTTAATGGTCCATTGCCTCCTGGTACTCAGCAGTGCAGGTAAGTTAACATTAAATTAATTAATGGTGATAATAACACCGGGCTCCCCAAATAGGCATAGCCCGGGCGAGGCTCTGCTTCGCGAATCTTAAAAAAAAAAAAAAAAAAAAAAAAAAAAATGGTGATAATAATAACTTTGTAGCTTATAGTATATGGTGATGATTGTGATTGTGAATTGATAGATGAAATGGTCCTTGGTCTTCTGGAACTTAGCAGTGCAGGTAAGTTAACAACAGTAAATGCATTAATGGTGATAGATAGTAGATGGTGATAGATGGTGACAAATAAATAATAGATAGATGTATTGATAGTGATGATAATAAATTGATAGGTGTAGTAATTATGATAATAAATTGATAAATGTAGTAATTATGATAATAAATGTAGTAAATGTATTAACAATTATGATAAATTGAGAGATGTATTAATGGTGACAATGACCATAAATTTGCAGTAATGATGATAATGAATTAATAAACCTATTAATTGATAGATGTATTAATAATGAATTAATATTACATTGATAAATATGTTAATGATAATATACACACGCACACACACACACACACACACACACACACACACACACACACACACACACACACACGTCGTTATAGGCTTGCTTCTCAGGCGTCTGACAGTAAGAATGTTAGAAACTAAGTAAAACATAACAAGTTGGTCATCCAACATAACCAAATTTCAATTTAAGTCAATATAATATCACCAATAACTGTAATCAACCTAGAATTCAATTACTAAAAATAAAATCTTCTAATCAAAAAAAAAAAACGATTAAAAAAAAATCAACCGAATCATAATCAACAACCCCCCCCCCAAAAAAAAAAAAAAAAAAAAAAATCTTCCAGTCACTAGAATCCAAAATACCTCTTTTTTTCTTTTCCCCACAGAAATCTTAAAGGGGGAAAGGTGACCTCTTCAAGATGTCTCCTTTATCCTACGCTTTTGCTGGGGTCCTTTGGTCTCCTGGTACTCAGCAGTGCAGGTAAGTTAAGATTAAATTAATTAATGGTGATAATAATAAGTTTGTAGCTGTAGTAATGGTGATGATTGTGAATTGATAGATTTAATGGTCCATTGTCTCCTGGTACTCAGCAGTGCAGGTAAGTTAAGATTAAATAAATTAATGGTGATAATAATAAATTTGTAGCTGTAGTAATGGTGATGATTGTGAATTGATAGATTGAATGGTCCATTGCCTCCTGGTATTCAGCAGTGCAGGTAAGTTAACATTAAATTAATTAATGGTGATAATAATAAATTTGTAGCTATAGTAATGGTGATGATTGTGAATTGATAGATGTAATGGTCCTTGGTCTCCTGGTACTCAGCAGTGCAGGTAAGTTAAGATTAAATTAATTAATGGTGATAATACTAAATTTGTAGCTGTAGTAATGGTGATGATTGTGAATTGATAGATGAAATGGTCCTTGGTCTTCTGGAACTTAGCAGTGCAGGTAAGTTAACAACAGTAAATGAATTAATGGTGATAGATAGTAGATGGTGATAGATGGTGACAAATAAATAATAGATAGATGTATTGATAGTGATGATAATAAATTGATAGGTGTAGTAATTATGATAATAAATTGATAAATGTAGTAATTATGATAATAAATGTAGTAAATGTATTAACAATTATGATAAATTGAGAGATGTATTAATGGTGACAATGACCATAAATTTGCAGTAATGATGATAATGAATTAATAAACCTATTAATTGATAGATGTATTAATAATGAATTAATATTACATTGATAAATATGTTAATGATAATATACACACACACACACACACACACGTCGTTATAGGCTTGCTTCTCAGGCGTCTGACAGTAAGAATGAAAAGGTAGACTAAGACAGCCGTAAAGAACTTCATGATTTATTGCAAACGTTTCGAAGACAATCAAATCTCCATCGTCAGTGCTGTGATTAATGAACCAAAAAGATATATATTTTTTTTTTTTTTTAATTATCTAACTACATTTTTATCTTTTTGGTTCATCAATCACAGCACTGACGATGGAGATTTGGTTGTCTTCGAAACATTTGCAATAAATCATGAAGTTCTTTACGGCCGTCTTAGTCTACCTCTTCATTCTTATATATATATATATATATATATATATATATATATATATATATATATATATATATATATATATATATTAATGATGATGATGATAAAGCTGATAACATGCTAATCGTAAACTTAGCAATTATTTGATCTAGAACTAATATTGATAATAATAGTAATGGTGATGGCAGTCAACAATCAACAATTTAAAAGTTGCAATGACTGGAAAACCAGCAATAACATTGACGAAAACAATGAAAATAATAATTAAACTGATAAGGATAATCGTACTAATGATAATAGTTATATTAATAAGATAATTATAATGAAATTTATTATGATATTGGTAATAGTAATGGCAATGGTAGTGATAACGAGATTGATAATATTAGTAACTATTATTATCTCATTATTATTGTAATTATTGTCCTTAATATTATTAGTATTGTTAGTATTGTTATTATCATTAATATCATTATTATTATTATTATATTACTATTATTATTATTATTATATTACTATTATTATTATTATTATTATTATTATTATTATCATTATTATCATTATTATCATTATTATTATTAAAGCTGCATCAAGAACAGCAATAATAATAGTAATAACAATGATAATAATAATGATAATTATAATAATAATAATAATAATAATAATAATAATAATAATAATAATGATGATAATGATGATAATGATAACAATAATAATGATTATGATAACAAAACAAGAAGAAGAACAACAATAACAATGATAATAATAATAATAATAATAATAATAATAATAATAATAATAATAACAAAGATTAATTCTAATCTTTAATTCCATCTATTTATCTTTTTTTTCAGTATCAGGGTCTCCAGAATGGGCTCGAATTGAGGAGAAATTGAGAAGTGATTTGTTAAGTAACTATGACAAAAATGTTCGGCCAAGCAACACCACAGTCATTTCTTTCAATGGCCCATTTATTAGGGATGTTCAGCTGGTAAGCGATTATTACGTGTGTGGGGTGTGTGGGGTGGGGTGTGGGGTGTGGGAGATGGTGAGGATGTGTGGGTATGTGGGTAGGGGTGGCATAGGGAGGTGGAGAAGGTGTGTGGGTATTTGTGTGTGTGTGTGAGAGAGAGAGAGTGTACTGTGTAGATCTGAGCGTGTGTGGGAGGGATAATGTGTGGGTATGTGTGTGTGGGAAGGGAATATCTTAATTGAATTAACTATCTTAATTAAATTTAGGATTTAAACTTTGAATATTCTTCGAATATTATGTTCTTCCAAATCAGACTTTTTGCAAATTTTGCAACGATCATCAACCTGCTTTAAAGATATAAATCTACGGGGATATACTGCCGGCTTCACTATTACATTATACTCAGTGGTTATAGTACATTTAAATTTACACACTCATGCAGGTTATATAACTGTACACTGAGAGGAAGGGACACTCCACTTGTAATAAAATATTTCTATGTTGTTACAGGACGACGCATCCAACGCCATTGAAATGTTCTGTTGGTTGAATTTCGTAAGTTGATATATTCTTAATGTTTTGTTTCGTATTTATTTACTGTTTTGTTATAATTTCTTCTTTCATTTCATTTATTATTATCATCATAATGTATATATTTTCTTTTAGATTTCGTTATACAAAATCAAACATTAGTATAAGAATACCTACCTAAAAAAAAGAGAGAGAGAAAACAAAAGAAAAGAAAACAACAACAACAATAATACTAATAAAACGAATAAAATAAAAACAAAAAAATCGAATTAAAGAAAACGGGAAATTCTCCCTCCGTCTGACTATACACGATCACCACCACCATCTCGTTCCATCGATTCTCATATTTTAACGTCGCTTTTTCCTCCTCCTTCCTTCTCCGTCTCGCACTCTTAGCAATGGCAAGATGACCGACTGATTTGGGACGAAGCGAAATATGCTGGTGTGGACGTCCTCTCTGTGCCAGTGGATATGCTATGGACTCCTGACATCGCTACTTACAATTCGTTAGTATAGTATATTATCAGTAGTGTTAGTGTAGTATATTAGCATAGTAAATTATTATATGTAGTATATTCGCATAGTATAATAGTATATTACCTTAGCACAGTATATTACCTTAGCATAGTATATTAGTATAGTATATTCGCATAGTATATTAGTATATTATCTTAGCATAGTATATTAGTATAGTATATCAGTGTATTATCTTAGCATAGTATATTAGTATAGTATATTCGCATAGTATATTAGTATATTACCTTAGCATAGTATATTAGTATAGTATATTAGTGTATTATCTTAGCATAGTATATTAGTATAGTATATTCGCATAGTATATTAGTATACTACATTAGCATAGTGTATTAGTATATTATCATAGTATATTAGTATAGCATATTATTATATTATTATATTATTTTACTACATTAATGTATCATTTTAGTATAGTATGTTAGTTTAGTATATTAGTATATTAGCATAGTACATTAGTATAGTATATTAGTATAGTTTATCATTGCACTATAGTAGTATAATGTATTAGTATTTTAGTATAACATATTAGTATACTATAATAGTATAGTATATTAGTATAGTATATTAGTATGGTATATTAGTATATCATAGAGAGAGAGTATAGTGTATTAGAGAGAAAGAAAGAGAGAAAGAGAGAGAAAGCGAAAGCGAAAGAGAAAGAGAAAGAGAAAGAGAAAGCGAAAGCGAAAGAGAAAGAGAAAGAAAAAGAAAAAAGAGAAAAAGAAAGAGAGCGAAAGAAAGAAAGAAAGAAAGAAAAAAAACACATGTAAATTATACAAACAAAATACGTCCCTCCTCCCACAGACCAAGTATCGACGACGTGCGAGCCATAGATAACCAGCCTATGGTAGTCAAATCGACTGGCAGTGTGTTGTGGATTCCTCCTGCTAAGCTCAGAGCATCCTGCGGCGCCGACATCCGACTGTGGCCTCGCGATACACACGTTTGCAACATCACCATTGGGTCTTGGACTCAGTCGGGACTCATGGTCGATTTTGATATCCAGTCGCAACCTGAGGTAAGGATGGGTGTGTGTGTATGTGTGTTTGTGTGTGGGTTTGTTTTTGCGTGTGTTTGTGTGGTGCGTGTGTTTGTGTGGTGCGTGTGTTTGTGTGGTGCGTGTGTTTGTGTGGTGCGTGTGTTTGTGTGGTGCGTGTGTTTGTGTGGTGCGTGTGTTTGTGTGGTGCGTGTGTTTGTGTGGTGCGTGTGTTTGTGTGGTGCGTGTGTTTGTGTGGTGCGTGTGTTTGTGTGGTGCGTGTGTTTGTGTGGTGCGTGTGTTTGTGTGGTGCGTGTGTTTGTGTGGTGCGTGTGTTTGTGTGGTGCGTGTGTTTGTGTGGTGCGTGTGTTTGTGTGGTGCGTGTGTTTGTGTGGTGCGTGTGTTTGTGTGGTGCGTGTGTTTGTGTGGTGCGTGTGTTTGTGTGGTGCGTGTGTTTGTGTGGTGCGTGTGTTTGTGTGGTGCGTGTGTTTGTGTGGTGCGTGTGTTTGTGTGGTGCGTGTGTTTGTGTGGTGCGTGTGTTTGTGTGGTGCGTGTGTTTGTGTGGTGCGTGTGTTTGTGTGGTGCGTGTGTTTGTGTGGTTGTGTTGTGTGTGTGTTTGTGTTGTATTTGTGTGTGTGTGTGTGTGTGTGTGTGTGTGTGTGTGTGTGTGTGTGTGTGTGTGTGTGTGTGTGTGTGTGTGTGTGTGTGTGTGTGCGTTGTTCTATGTATGTGTGGGTGGAGAGAGAGGGAGGGAGGGAGAGAGAGAGAGAGAGAGAGAGAGAGAGAGAGAGAGAGAGAGAGAGAGAGAGAGAGAGAGAGAGAGAGAATGAGAGAGAGAGAGAGAGAGAGAGAGAGAGAGAGAGAGAGAGAGAGAGAGAGAGAGAGAGAGAGAGAGAGAGACAGAGAGACAGAGACAGAGAGTGTGTGTGAGAGAGAGGGAGAGAGAGAATGAGAGAGTGAGAGAGAGAGAGAGAGAGAGAGAGAGAGAGAGAGAGAGAGAGAGAGAGAGAGAGAGAGATAGAGACAGAGAGACAGACAGAGAGTGTGTGTGAGAGAGAGGGAGAGAGAGAATGAGAGAGTGAGAGAGATGATTTTGACAATAATGATATTTTGGCAGCAGCTGATAATATCCATAACGATGATGATATTAGCAATATAGATCCTTATGATAATATAGATGATTTAAGAAAATAAAACACCCCTGCTATATTAATAAACGTAAAAGAACAACAACAACACTTTTGTTACATAACAATAGCTAATTATTACATCGTTTTTCCTCCCCCTCCCATCTCTCATTCCTCCCCCTTCCTCCTTTCCTTTATTACCTCCCCTCCTTTTATACCTTCTCTTCCCTTCTCTCTATCTCCTTTACTTTCTCCCCCTCTTCCCCAACCTCCTCCCTCCCCTCTAACCCCTCCTCCTCCTTCCCCTCACCTCCCTTCATTTCCCTCCCTTCCATCCTCCTCCTCATTTTTCTCTCCTTCCCTCTTCTAATTCTCCCTCCTTCCCCTTTCCTCCATCTCTCCCTCCAACCCCCTCCCCCTCCAACCCACCCCCTTCAACCCCCCCTTCCTCCCCCCCATCACCTACCTCCACCCACCCACTCACCCATCCACCCACCCACCTCGCTTCAACCCACCATTCCTCCCCACCCAATCACCTACCTCCACACACCCACCTACCCCCCTTCAACCCACCCTTCCTCCACCCCCACCCAATCACCTACCTCCACCCTCCCCCATCACCCCTCCCCATCACCACCCCCACCTCCTCAACACAACAGATCAAGTACTGGACAGGCAAGGAGACCAACATGACCGGTTCAACATGGGAGATCCTCGAAGCCAATTCGACCAAGGAATCGAAGCAATATCCCTGTTGCCCTGATATCTATATCGACGTCGCACTCTCAATCAAGCTTCGTCGTTATGCCCCCAGCAGTATCACTACGATCATCGTGCCGGCCGTCTGTACGTTGGATGAGGAAGGGGGAGGATGAGGAGAGAGAGAGAGAGAGAGAGAGAGAGAGAGAGAGAGAGAGAGAGAGAGAGAGAGAGAGAGAGAGAGAGAGAGAGAGAGAGAGAGAGGGAGAGAGAGAGAGAAAGAAGGATGGGGAAATAGAGATAAAGGGATGGAGATGATAAAGAGGGAGGATGAGGAGATAGATAGAGAGAGAAAGGATGGAGAAATAGAGATAGAGGGATAGAGATGATGATGATGAAGGATGAGGAAAGAGAGAGAGAGAGAAAGGATGGAAAAACAGAGATAGAGGGATAGAGATGATGAAGAGGAAGGAGAGGAGAGAGAGAGAAGGATGGAGAAATAGAGATAAAATGATAGAGAGAGAGACAGGGATAGACACTATTATCTCCATGCCGGCCGTCTGAAAATGAGGAGGGAGGACAGGGATGGAGATGGAGAGATAGAGAGAGATAGGGAGATAGAGAGGTAGATGTAGCGAGATAGAGATGGAGAGATAGGAATAAAGGGATAGAGATAGAGACAGGAATAGAAAGATAGAGAGGTAGGAATTGAGAGATAGAGAGAGATAGGGATAGAGATGGAGGAGAGGAGATAGAGAAAGAAAGATGGAGAGATAGAGAGAGGTAGAGATAGGTTTAGAAAGAGAGAGACTGATAGGGATAAGGATTGTGAGAAAGAGAGGTAGATATATAGAGATAGAGAGATAAAGATAGGAGGGATAGAGACAAAGGGATAAAGATAGGAATAGAGGTAGGTATAAAGATAGAGACAAAAAGAGATAGAGAGATAGATATAGATATAGAGACAGAACACAGATAAAGATATAATGAAAGTGATTGATAAGTGAAGTGAAAAATTTGCATCAAGATACGTCAAAATACAACAAGAACAAGAACAACAACAACAACAATAAAATAAATCTTTCTCTAACAGGTCTGAGTCTCCTGACCCTGATTGTCTTCCTCCTCCCCCCCTCTGCCGGAGAAAAGGTCACCATTGGAGGATTTTGTCTCGTTCTTGACCTGATCTTCCTTATCTACATCTCCGCCACCATCGGGGTCACTCGTTCTACCACGCCTATCTTAGGTGACCTTTTGTGTGGTCTGATTTGACCTTGTTTGAATTGGTTTGACCTAAGTATCATATGACCTGGTTTCACTTGAGTTTCAGTTGAGTTACTTTGACCTGATTTCACTAAAGTTTCAACTGAGTTAGTTTGACCTGATTTCACTAAAGTTTCAACTGAGTTAGTTTGACCTGATTTCACTAAAGTTTCAACTGAGTTAGTTTGACCTGATTTGACCTAAGTTTCAATTGACGTAGTTTGACCTAGGTTTCAATTACTTGTTCTGTTGCTTGTTTATGTGATTGTAAATTTTCAGTCAGTTCATAAAAAATGATAAATTGTAAAAAAAAAAACAACAACAACAACAAGAGTATGAATTAAGGTCCATCACACTCATCACTATTTTCACCATCATGATTAAATTCCAGTATCATAATTTTTCACCATCATCCATTCATCATATTATCATATTTTTCACCATCTAAGATCCATCTCACCATCACCATTTTTTTTACCCATTATGCATACATCGCAACAGCATCATTTTCACTATCATACATCCACCACATATTCACCATTAGAGTTCCACCACACTGATTTTCACCATCATAGATCCCCCGCAATATTTTAACGTTCGCCATCACAGATCCATCGCAATGGTTTAACGTTCATCACAGATCCACTACACTATTTTAACGTTCATCACAGATCCACTACACTATTTTAACGTTCATCATCACAGATCCACCACACCATCGCCAGCATCACCACCATCCACACCATAACCAAACCCTGTCTCATAGTGCCACCCTAACCCTTCTCTCTCTTTACCTACCTCCCCCCCCTACAGTGAAGCTAGCGTGCCAACAGTTCGTCCTCGCTGCCATCAGTTTAATGGTATCAGTTCAGGTCCTACGGTTGGCAAGAGGTCCCCGTTCCTCTGGCCTGAGCTCTTGCATTCGCCGTCCTCTGGCTGCCCTTGCCTCCTGCCTCTTCCTCGGGAACTACAGTGCTATGGTGAGTTACAGGGAGTGTGGTATTTGGTGGGGGTGTTCGTGGGAGTGCGTGGGGAATGGTATTTGTGGTATGTATGCTAGGTATGATGAATGGCTTATATATATTTTTTTCTCTCTCTTCTTCTTCTTTTCTTCTTTCTCTCTCTCTGTCTCTCTCTCTCTCTCTCTCTCTCTCTCTCTCTCTCTCTCTCTCTCTCTCTCTCTCTCTCTCTCTCTCTCTCTCTCTCTCTCTCCCTCTCTCTCTCTCTCTCACTCTCTCTTTCTATCTCTCTCTCTCTCCCTCTCCCTCTCTCTCCCTTCCTCCTCCC